CCGGAGTTAAACCACGACACCCAGATGATCCGGTACCTTCTCGGTACAGCTCTGAATACAACCTTCAGACCCCTCGGGAGTAGTTACCGTTCCCTAGTATTTAATAAGGCCCAGTAATAGTACGGATGGCTAAAGCTTTGTAATGGGATCACTTATTTGATTAACTCAGCAGAAGGCCAACACGTTTTTCCAAGAGTCCCCGCAATATCCATCTTACTTTTGTTGCCCATGTGTCCCCAGCCTGTGATGTAGCAGTAGGTGTCCGGCCGAACCAGCTGGTCCTTGCCGGGCAGACAGACGGGTCTTACGTAGCTCGTCTCGTTGATATCCTCGTCCAGCTCCACGATGCTGATGTCGTAGTCTACGACGGCTCTGTTGTAGCGCGGATGGAGGATGATGGTCTTCACTAGTCGGGTCTGCGTGAAGCCTGATGGGTGATCGAGGTTGCTGATCCCAAACACTACTTTCCACACAGCTGCGTTTTCTCGCCTTTGTGAAAAAGGAAAAACGGGAAATTTCCATCAAGAGCATTCTTTGAAGCAAAAATATCCGAGATTTTTTTTCCTCCCTGACTTTCTGCACACTGCACTTGGCAATGCCTTGCACACACATGTGCTACAAAAAAACACGAGTACATGGGCATCATTACTTACAGCTACGATCTGAGCAACAAGCGGCAATCCTTTCCATTTCCCTCCTGCCTGCTGCCGAACAAACTGAAGCTCACACCTTCAAAAGGCACATGACCACCTATTCGTTGCCGCATTGAATGCCAAAGGCTCTCAGAACCATCCCTTGGATCCTGCCCAAGTCTTGGGTGCTCACGTGCGCGCTCTTGGCACGTACAGCTCACTCTGGGGTGACAGTATTGTTGGGTAGAATTGCTGAGAGCAGGAAGTCCAGCTCAAATCCCAGAGGAATCCCAAAGAACCCATTCTATTATGAAAATGAAATCTTTTATGATAGCCATGGGAAAAGTCCCTTATTTATTGGGCATTCACTCTGCGCCAAGCATACTTCCCGTGCCCAAGATCCAAGGTTCCTTGGACTCTTACAGTTGTTGAAGACTGTTTTGGTAAACATCCATAATCACCAAAAATTATCTATGTAAGTGGGAAGACTGAGCTGGGGTCTGTTGAGACACCAGAAAAAACCACAGACTCCATGAAAGGCTTGGAGGGTGCAATCTCTTGCTCATAATTGGTCACAGGATAAGTCACGGATCCCTCATTAGCCTGTGATTCTAAAAACCCTCTGAAAAGTCAGTATTTTTCACAACTGATGAAAGCCAGTTCCATGTAACTAAACTCTTCTGACAAGGTTGAAGCTTAATCAAAGCAGCGTAAATCAAAGGATGCAAAGTTTCAGCTTTTTCACAGTAGTCAACAGGATTGTAATTTCTGTAATTTGTAAAGAGATTTGCTTGCTAAATAAGGGCTATTTTTGTCTTGAGTTGCGTGAAAATTCTAATATTTCAGACTCTAATGATCACTTTACCATCATGATCGCTTTGCGAGTTTCTCCACAAGTTGCAAGATGAAGTGCCAAGACTATTCATAAGCTATTGTGTTTACCAACGCTGTAAAAAAGCATCGCTCAGAGCTACGAGCGGTCGCAGCCAGAATGCATTGTCCTACGGCCCAGAAAAAAAAAAAACCTTAATATCTTGGATGCTTTGGTGTAATGCATTTCAAACCAACCCTGACAAAACTCAGGGGACTGTACTAATAACACTGGCAAAGGGCACAGTGTTTAATGTAGCTCTTTCCATTTCTGCCCTCTACAAGTATTCATGCCTACTTGCATTAATACCTTCTGCTGCGTTATTGTTACACGGGCCTCATGTTCTGTATCCCAAACGTCACACGAACTTCACCAAACACCACAAAATGGAGCATTTTGTTTAAAGCAACACAGCACTTCAAAATCTGTTCTAATTGTTGGCTTATCTGGTTGGTTTGGTAAAGTTTTTAAATACTTCGTATCAGGGATGACCTTGCTGTTGCTGTATCAAGCTACACAAATGAAGAATTTAAAGATTTCAGGCTGCTGGGAACGTACCCTCATATCTATTGGGAGAGGCAGAACAGAAAAATGTTCATTTAACTACTCAAAGAATTATTAAACCAAAATATCTTAGTACTCGAGGCATTTAGAACACAAACGTGAAAGAGGCCTCTTGTATGCCATACCCTGAGCTCACGTAGATATTATATAGCCCTAAACGAGGGGCGGGTGAACAGCTCCAAAATGTAGTGTCAGTCTTTCTCCATTTGACAAAAATGGGAGAATTTTTCCTTTTAAAGTTGACATGCTGCTTTGCTTATCTTGTGGATGCCCCATCCCTGATGTCTTCAAGGCCAGGCTGGACGAGGCTTTGAGCAACCTGGTCTAGTGGAAGGTGTCCCTGCCCATGGCAGGGGGGTTGGAACTGGATGGTCTTTAAGGTCCCTTCCAACCCAAACCATTCTATGATTCTGTGATCTTTCACTACTGAGAGAAATCTCTTACCCGTGAAATTAAGTAGCAGTCCAATATTGCTGAAGGAACTGCCTCTAAATTCCACCCTGAATTTTAGATCACCAGAAAAAGTTCTTCCAAAGGTAAAGAAATATTCCAGACACTGCTTAGCTTTCCTTAAAAATAGAACGGGAAAGAAGAGAAGTTCCTTGTGCAGGATCCAAAACCCGATAAAGACAATATTCTTGTTTGCATTATTCAGGTTTAGTGCTGTTAGTTTAGAAGGAGGGTTAGCTAGGTTACTCTTTCTGGTTATGACTTTGCTTCTCTCTGAATGGAATCAGTTCTTGAACATCCTTAGGGCTCAACGTGACGTCATAGTCAGAATTGAGGTCTCTCCGATATCATTTCCTCTGGCATTTCCATTAGTAGCCTCTCACCTTGAGATACTCATGCTATCACCTGCCTGACGTCGTCCGGTTTGGACACAAAAGCCTTTGTCCCTACCACAAGAGCCATCAAGAGCCAGGAAAAAAACCCCAACAAATGCCAAAGAACTCAGCGTTTGATAAACAGACAAAATTCTTACTGAAAAAGGGAATAATTAATGGGATAAAGAAATGTCAGTCAAGAGATACTTGCTTACCACAGAATTCCTGCCGTCTTGAACAGAAAGGAAGGTGTTTAGTGTAGTCTAAAATAATTTCCAGTAAACAAGTACCAGTTTAAAGCAGGATTAAGCACTGATGACAACAGCGTAGCAAAAAAAGCACTCGCTAACTACAGCAGAAAACACACACTTCAATTATCTTTAGAAACCCAATTAAATTACTTCGGTACAGGACAAAAGTAATGAGGTAATAAAGTTCCCTCTTGAATCTGGAGTTCGTTAAAAAGAAATGTTAACACCAAAAAGCTGACAATGACCAAGACAAATCCTAAGACGTGTAAACTTCCTCTGCACTCCAGATGATTGTCCATCCACCACAGGGCCTCAGATACCAGAGGGCCTCGAGTAGTGGTTAATACTGGCTTTTTAATGATTCCAATCCTAATAAAGGAGTGTAGTGTTCATAATTACAAAAGGCAGTTACTTCAGTATGTCAGCTGCACTGTAAATACTTGGGGTTTATTTTCACTAATGGTCACAACATTTTTCCAGGGTCATTTCTATGCTGGTGCCCAGAATTATTTTTTAGAATCACAGAAAGGTTTAGGTTGGAAGGGACCTTAAAGATCATCTAGTTCCAACCCCCCTGCCATGGGCAGGGACACCTTCCACTAGACCAGGTTGCTCAAAGCCTCATCCAGCCTGGCCTTGAACACTTCCAGGGATGGGGCATCCACAGCTTCTCTGGGCAACCTGTGCCAGTGCCTCACCACCTTCTCTGGGAAGAACTTCTTCCTGATATCCAATCTAAACCTCTCCACTTTCAATTTAAACCCGTTACCCCTTGTCCTGTCACTACAGGCCCTTGTAAAAAGTCCCCTCCAGCTTCCTTGTAGCCCCTTCAGGCACTGGAAGGTGCAATAAGGTCTCCCCGGAGCCTTCTCTGCTCCAGGCTGAACAAGCCCAACTCTCTCAGCCTGTCCCCATAGCAGAGGGGCTCCAGCCCTCGGCGCATCTTCGTGGCCTCCTCTGGACTCGCTCCAACCCGTCTATATCCTTCTGATGTTGAGGGCTCCACAACTGGATGCAGCACTCCAGGTGGGGTCTCACCAGAGCAGAGTACAGGGGCAGAATCCCCTCCCTCGACCTGCTGGCCACACTATGGGAGTTGTGTGAGAGCCATAGGATTAGTGTTTTGGTCTTCTTCCTTTTCCCATTTCCTGCTAAAATCACCGAGCTTCCCTGCATCTTCATTTAGCTTTCATCAGTAAAGACACCAGCAATGAATAATAAAGCGTGTGAAAACCTAAACTGGTGCTGGTTTATGCCATTCCCTTTCTTTTTCAGTCTCTTGAAACCAGGCCCCTGTGATCTGCCGCTCTGCGACAGCCATCGCCCACCCCCAGCGTGTTTGGTAGAGTTCACTTTATGAACTCTATAATCAAGTGATTTGGTAGAGTTTGCCCTCGGTCCTTCCCCCGGGCAAGTCTGGATGAACAGTAAAACCGTCTGAGCCCTCTCACCCTTCAAAGCAGTGTGCCACTGTCAAGACCCATCTCTTTGCAATCAGAACGCAGCCGCAGATGTGTCCGCTGGGCTCGCTCTGCAGCGAGCACTGCCACGGCCATCGGCCTGGGCGACTGGTCCTCCCACCAAGGATCCTCTTGTTCATGCGAGCAGCTGGGCGACGGCCACAGTCTGGGGAGGAACAGATGCAGAAGGGAGTTAATCGTTAGCACAGCAGCAGCGCAGACGAGACCTCCTGCAAGAAAACTGGGCACCGAGTCGTGAAATTACAGCCAACAATATGGTAAAAGAAGTCATCAGCCACCACACAATAGTATCACGCATATTGAGTCATTTTCGTCTTTCCTTTATAACAAAGAATTTGCTCTCCTGGTAATAATTTTGACCAGCTCAGCCTGAAATATTAACCACGCTAAGTTTGGGATCCTGCCTCCCCAGCACTCTGCCCGTTCTACTTCCACTGCAAATGATACCAGACTGTCACTCTTCTGAAATAGTTAGCCCTTCACTTTTGTTTCACTTTATATTCCGGATTTTTAAGGTGGTAGACTTATTACTTACCCTGTTTATGCTCAGTCTGATTTAGAGAACAAAAGAACACGGCCACTTTCTGCAGTCAGCCTCCTGAGGGAGGGTAGGCTGCCACCGCGTTTGGCTGCGGGAATTTAGTGGCGAAGAAATAAAATTGGAGCAATGGTTATTTCTAACTTGTAATTCTTCCTGAGGTCACCCAGCCTCAGCGGGCACGGGGTTTTAAGTGCACTTAAATCAACACATGTCAGGAGCAAACACCTCCGACAAGCCCCTAAGAGTTTTTTATCTGAAAAGAGCAGTAAATGTTTTCATTAGTTTCCCACATTTAGGTCATTCTTTGTGATTCGTTTTCATTGTCTCATGCTAATTCATAATTTAAGTGTTCCTCAGCAAAGCTCTCCTTGCCTGCAGAACAGCACTGAAGATGAAGAATTTCTGCATTTTCACACCACTTAAATTGCACAGTCTGCCGTGCCTACGGACTTAGCCTGTAGCTTTCTACTTCGGGTTCTTCCGTCCCTCGAGCTACAAGTAAACCGGTCACAACTCCCATAACCACTCTGGTGGTGAAGGGTATCTGCAGCTGGAAGTTTTATCGAATTAGGTTTTGGAACCTGACTGCTGATAAAATTCATGTTTTGGGAGCAGAACTGGGCTACGGCAATACACAGTTGTGTAGTCAAAAAAATAAGAAACACTGATGAAACGGAATAGAGGGGGGTGGGAAAAACCCAAAACAATGTAAAACTGGACGTTGCTAAAATCTAGTCAAATTTCAGAATGAACCAAAACATCTGCATTTCTGAAAGGCATCTAACACATCTTGAAAAGCATCTTTGTTGTATACGTGCTTCCCTCTTACCTTCTTTAGTGCAGGAAAGAGCCACTTTGCTTCTGCTTCGGCACATCTGCCTAAATATCGAAACAAGAACAGGGTGGAGATCTCAATTAATCGATGTAATCTTTGGCAATTTGCAAATCAGCACAGGTATTGGGCTCATTGTGGTGAACCAGGTGTTAAAAATTCCCCCCAGACCGTACAAAGAATCCCAAGGAGCTGCTTACGCCAGCTCATCCCTGGTTTCCAGCGTCTGCCTGGAGATAATTCAAAATACGGGTTCAGCTTTACACTGCGTTTCATGAGTGGGTGCTACAGTTCGCAGACTGCCTCTCTCTCTGGGCACGGATCCAGCTCCCCGGTCAGCTGGGAAGTGCTGTCTGTCAGGTCTTGATCTGTGGCACCTGATGGCACAGAGATGGCCATTGTCCTCTTCCTCACGGCCGAAGGACGGAATTTTCTTTGAAGCACCTTTGATTACAGGTGATGTTTCGTGCCCAAAAAGTTTGGGTGTTTCAAAAAAAATCCAGGAATTTTGCAAAAGTATTAAAATACCTAAAATTTTCATTTCTGTAGAAAATTTTCATTTCTGTAGAAAATTTTCAGACGAGAGAGGAAAGAAGTGAGATTGTCAAAGGAAGAGAGATCCTTGTTACAACAGCGAGCATCGTTGCCCAGCCAGCTGACTGCCTTCGCAGCTCCGCCGCTTTTTCATTCCGACCCCAGACGTGCTTTTCTGAGGCAGGTGTAGAGCTAAATTAGAGCGGGCACCCACATCAGCTCTTCCCCAGGTAATTCTTGGAAGGCTGTAATCTCAGTCAGCCACCTAAAGAGAGGCTGCGTTTGATTTCCAGTCCTAGGCAGCAATGTGGGCACAAGCCAGTGAGCTCGCCAGGTCAGGTCGGATCTGTGAGCCGACCCGACCGCTGCCCTTCACACCGTGCACGCCCCGTTCCCACGCTGTGCAGATCAGCCTGCTTTCTGTTCCTGAAAACGCGGACCACAGAATGCTGTTACTAGAGACAGACCACCCGTTTCAGGAAAGAAAATCCTGTGCGCAGTTTTGAGGGGCGTTTGCCCTCCGTAAAAAAGAAAAATACATGGATTAAAACTGAGACCAGCCACACTCATGTCTCTGATTTACCAAACAGGCAGCCCTGGAAGAAAAAACTAAACTTTATGTGTGCAAACCCTTCACAGTGCCATTGGCTCTCACCCAAACTTTATGAAATGAGTGGTGCATTTTTTAGTTCCTGCCCGCGTTCCCAGTGATCCAGGAGCCTGACGGCTCCTTCAAACACCCAACATACACACGGTTCGCATGCTGAAGTTGATCCAGGTGAAAGCACCCATCCTGCAGGGCTCAAGAGCACTTCCCAGCTCCTGGGCTTGTCTTGGCTTCCTGTTGGGAAGAGACTAAAGGCGTATTGTCCCCTGTGCAAGCCAGGCACGTGAGAAGTGACGCAGGCCTGCGGGTCCTCCTGTGGGGTGGGAGGCAGGTCAAACAAAGCCATCCTCACCCTTCATGCAAGGCCTTCGCTTCTCCCTTCTTGTTAGCCATTTTCAGGATTCGGGGAGACGGGAACATCTGTTCCTACATATTACTTTCATCTCTGTAATAGCTTTATCAATAATCCTCATTACTGATGTTTTCTCTCCTTTAACTTGTACTTTGGATGAACCTAGATCTTTTCCTACCAGATCTTGTAACTCAGAGGCTTCAAATCCATCCCTTCACACATATTCCTAGCAGACCACTTTCAAACATGTCCAAGTACCTTGACGCTTCTGCTTTGCACTTCAGTGACTGAACAGAATACGACTGTGGGCCTGCCTTTGCATCTGGTCACAACCCAAGGTGTTTATTCCTGTATTACTCTGGAGGAAAGCATTTAGGTACCAGTAGGGTAGTGGAAAGAGACAATGAGAAAGGAAATAGAAGAGTTCAGAAGAATTTTTTCAAGTATCAGATACCATTGTGTACTGGCCCTTCTTCTAGTGAAGGAATAAAAGAGAATTTAAATGAATAGGGAAAATACTGATGTAAAACAGAACTAGCAGAAAGCTGAGATGTAGGAAAGCAAAAGTAGATGCTTGCAGCCATAATCTTTTTTTTTTCCCTACAGAAAATAATGGAGTCAAGCAAAAGAGGAGGAGATGTATTCCTCAGATTTGTGTCTTCACACATGTTGTACCTCTACATTTAGACAAGACAGTCTTTCCGTGGGAAACAGGATTTTCTGTGGAAGAAGGATGTTCTGAAATCTCCTAGGCATTTGAAAGAGGACAGGGAAACAAGCAAATTGCTTTCTGAAGAAGGCAGTTGCAGATGGGGATTAGGTGGGTCTCCCAGTTCTGCCCTGGTTTAGGTCCATTGACTCTGCCGAGTCACACACGTCTCAGTCATGAGATCCTGGCTTCTCATTACCAACTCCCTGTTTAGCCGAGTTAATTACAAGGAATACACCACCATCTGAAGCCAGAGGAGCTGCTAAAGAAACTACTGCAAGTGGATATAGCTTCTGCTGGAGCAGCTGTGGTCGCTCCACATGGATGAATCCAAACTACAAGGGCTGCCGAGGATGCAGGTTTCGCTGTATAGTACTGCTGGATTTTCTTCGTCAGCAGGGATTTAATGACTGTGTCTGGTCCAGGTGCCTCAAGGCCATCTCCTCTATGTCACTCAATGCTATTAGTCCTATGTCACCTCTGTGTCACTCAAATGCTGTTAGTCTAGCAGAATGAGCCCTTTTGAGTTCACAAGGTGGACTCAAAAGCAACTACACTTGTAGTAGACACTAAAATCATTACAGACTGTATCTTAGCAACTCCCATGAGTATGTGCTGGGATTTATACACAGATCTCTTGGAAAAAAAGAGTTTAACAAAGGAACTTTGTCATCCTCCATTGCTGACTACCCATAGCAGTGAAATAAGTCTCGTTACTTACCCCTTCACTAGAAGTGCGTGTAAAGTAGAGGCATTTTTATTCTTCCAGTCTGCGTGCAGATTCAGCCATTTTTGATGCTTCATCTCCTCACTCGCTATTACAATTTCTGTTTTGGATGGTCCTCTGAAACAAATGAAAGACATTCACAGACCTTGCAGTAGGTCGTGACGCAACAATTCTGAAGGTGATGAGGCCCCAGTGCCTGTTTACTCAGTGTACAGCAGAATGTTACGTGAGAGCCACGTGTGGCAGAATCACAGAGGGATGAAACCACCCCAAGAAGCCAGGGCAGCTCACATGTTACTGTCACTTACATTTTCTGGCAAGAACCAGAATTGGCATAGGGAACAGCAAGAGCCTTCTGGTGGCATTTACTGTAGTGCATGCATTGACATACTGTTTCTACAGTTTCTTGCCTCCAAAAATACTGAAAAAAATAGATCTTCATATGAAGAAGAGGTAAAAAATATTTTCTTACATTCCTATCTTTGGAAATCCATTAAAATTTAACAGTAAAGAGCAGTCTGGGTCTTGTTAATAATGCTTGACAGTATCTCTAAGTCCAAGCTGTCTGCTTTGCAAAAGAGAACAAATCACGGGTGATGATGCCAAACCTATCCTTCTGCAGCAAATTCACAGGAATATGAAAGTATCTTGGCATGGTTCGCCAGGAGATATTTTCACATAGCCACTTTCTCAGTTTACTTATTGCCTGATAGGCTCAAGCCACTGAAGAAACTGCTGGTTTAGTAAACCTCAGTTCCTAAATGGAAGACTAGCAAGGTTTTGTTTAGTTTGCTGGTTTTTTGCTTTAGTTTTTTATAATAACTTTACAAGTCATGCAACTTTCCAGCACAGAGCCACCCGTGATTAGCCACCAATCCCTGCCACTGACAAGGCCTTTCCAGGACTGCTCTCCTCAACACTGGTCAGAGGCCAGATTCTCAACCCTCGTTCATGGAAAATAGAATGAGGGAAGTTCAGAAAAGTGTGATGTGTCCTAAGACTTGCCTCTGCACCCAATCTCTCATGGCAGTACCTCTTAGTGCCGGCCCAGTGATTGACTTGTCTTAAGGTCCGATTTTCGGTATTAACTATATTTATTTTAAGATATTTACAAAAGTGCAGCATCCTTTACCCACTTGATTGCATAGATTAACAAAGATGAAAGAATCCTGTATCGTGGTAAGGCTGTCAGCGCAACCATATGGAAATGTCTTCAGCGGGGCTGGCAGAATTAACTAGGCTCTGAGGTCACGGCCCTGGATCCTGCCTGCTACATGACTTATTTTTCAGAACCTTCTCTGGGCATATTAAGAAAATATCATTCCATGACCTACTATCCAGAATGTGCAGGCAGATAGTAACAAGCATTTTTAAAGACTCCGTTTTTTCCTCATTTAGAGAACGCTGTGTGCTGCAAAAAGAACTTTCTTCCTCAGTGCCTGCCTAGAGCAAACACTTAAAACTCTCATCTCTTTATTACCATCATTTGCTTATTTCCCACCAAACATCCACACACTTTTTTTTTTCTTACAATGATGTTCTGCCTTATGACCTGTGAACAATTATGTTCGACATTGCACGACTGTGTGCAGCCGTATTTGCTGTCGCCGTAAACCGTGTCTGACCTATAAAGTAAGTAACTCAAAAAGGTGCAAATATCGTGCCATCTGGTGGATCCAACTCTATATTATCCCAAATGCCAGATTATTTTGTTGAAACGTGCAGTTCTGAATTACAGCTTGTGATGCTATAATCACCACTAAGCAGATATCTACTTCTAAACCAGGGCCGCAACCTACAAGACACTTAAGCCTGTATGAAATCTTATAATTATTAATACAATGTATTATACTTTAGAAGTAAAATTATGGCTATGCCTTTTTTTCTTGGTGGTCACTGCTTGATACAACATACACTCAAAACCAGTATGCCCTAATTTAAGTCTTTAGAATGCCTTCCATGAAGATTTATAGAGCGTTCCCCTCCTTGAGGATGTTTATATGAGGTTTTCTTTCAGATAGGCAAGGCCCACCACTTGTCTGCTTCCCTCTCGTTTAACTAGAAATAGCCAGAATGAAGGGGACCCACGAGCCCCATTTTTAGCTGAAGAAGGCAGGAAACAATGGTTAGCATTTGTGCAGAGACAGAGCACGCTGCGAACTGCCAGAGGAAACGAGCTACAAATGTTAGAGCAGGAGTAAGGACGCCGGCCGGTGTGAGCTTCCGGGGCTGAGACTTGCAGCATCCAGGGAGGGGCTGCGATGCCAGGAGCGTTCGTTACCCCAGGGACTGAACAGCACTAGGAGAAAAGGAGGGAGTAGGGCAATGGGAACTCATTTTAGCCAGACCTGTCCTGTGCTCCAGAAACACAGCAGGCAGCAGGTTGTACTTGGCCCCTCTTGGAGCTGCAGCCCACAGTTCCTCCTGTGGACACACTCTAAATAAAAGGGAAGAAGGATCTTTCAATGACCAGAGCCGCGCCAACTCCTGGGGTATAATTCCTCCATTAGAATATTTTGCTTTACTGAGTTTTTTTACAAGAACAAGCTTGTAGCTGCTAATTACTTTAAGACATCAATCTCTATCTTTGAGTTCGAAATCAGCTCTCTTGCTAATTTTTTATTTTAGTGGCCTGACGAGTTGATCTAAATTAAGTCAATCTGCACAGAAGTCATGTGTGTGGCCATATGAGTCTGTCAAGATTTCAGTCAAGCCAAATAACGAACCTTTTTTATGGAACACTTTCAGAAGGCTCTTTCACTTCTTTGCAGGTTTTCTTCTTTTCTTTTTTTTTCCCCTTTGGTTTGCATATAACAGAACAGCTTTGTTCAGAAACAGGGTGTTGATTTTAGACTAATGCTTTTAATTATTACCTGTGTTGCAACAGTAAACAAAACTGAAACCGTATTTGTGGACTGAAACCGTATATGCCAGGAACACAATGTGCAGTTTCGAGGCACCCCAGTTTATTCAGGGAGGATATGCAGAAACTGGAGAGGGTCATGCAGATGGCTTTCCAATTTTCCAGAGGCCTATGGCACTGACACAAAGAGGGGTTGAGGGAACCGGACTTGTTTACTCTCGTGAGGAAGAAGCTAAGGGACAGTTCCATAGCAACCTGCAACTACTTAATGAGGAGTTAAAAGGGGATGGAATCAAACTTTTCTCAATAGTGCTGCGTGGTAAAACAAGGGGAGATGGTCTAGAGTTGCAGCTTTGGAGATTCATAGCAGATGGAAAGGAAACATATTTCACAAGGAAGGTGGATCAGCCCTGGAACAGACAGACTGTGGAATCTTGATCCAGCAAGGTTTTCAAGACTTGGCTAAACAGAACAGTGGCTGAGCTGATCTCGTTTTGGTGGTAGTCCTGCTTCAAGTGGGAGACGGACTCGCTGTTCTCCAGACATCTGTGACAATGAGGCTTTTATGCACTCCTGCTCAGTTCAAATACCCTGTAGTGACCACAACCTCTGCTGAAGAGCTAACTCTCGAAAAAGACTAACAGTTACTAAAACAGATTTTTCACACATAAGGCCATCTTCTAACGTTAAAGTACAGTCACTGAACAATCTACATCACGTTGTTAGTGATATCTGCAAACGTAAGACATTCATACCATGGGAAAAACAATGTGCGCCCTTTGAGCGGTGATCTTTGGACCAGAGCCTTCACCAGGCTTTCAAAGTAACTTACAAATCCTACCTGAATCCCATGACTTTATAACATCTCATGGTGCTGTTTGGATGGAACCATTTGAGTACTGAAATATTATTTTAAACCCAGGGGGTTCTAAGAATGTATTACTGACTAGACCGCAGGAATTTAACTGTCTCATATGTCTCATATTAAATATCTGCAGTAAATCTTCATGTCCAAAAGAACTCTGCTAGAGCTTCGGAGCTCAAACATGACACTCAGTGAATACACTTTAGGCTGCCTGTAGTCAGTCTACTGACTTCTCCAAGACCGTAGAAAAAGTGCCATCGTTAAATAAATTTACAACAGACGCACAACAAAGAGCACAGTTTTAGGATTCTCCCAGTTTTAGTCCCCCTCCCTGCCTCCCTTGTAAAAAATCTCTAATGATGGAGAATCCTCAGCATTTCCAGGCAATATATTCCAGGATTTACCGTTAGCAATTTTATTCTGTTTGTTCTAAATCTCCCTACCTGTCATTAAAGCTCATTACGTCTGTCTCATTTCCCCTGGAAATGGAGAACAGTTTATTCCTTGTCTCTTTGCAGAAGCTTTTCACCCATTTTGGGGCTCATACACCTCCCTCACCGTGACTGACCACCCAGAGTTTTCAGCCTTCCTTCACAGACAATGCTGCCCAGGTCTCTGGTCATCCCTGCTGACCTGTCCTGAACTCTCCCCATCTGGTCAAAAATCTGACGCAGACTGAGCACACCAGAGTGATTGCACATAAACACTCCTGGTTAATTCAGGCCATTTCTCCAGTCTGTCAAAAATTTTTGAATTCTAATCCTGTCCCCCAAAATGCTTTCAGATCCTCCCGGCTTGATGCTGAATGAGAAATTACTAAGCGTGCTCTCCACTCCAGCAGCTGAATGACTCATGACAACACTGAATGTCACCCCAGACACGCTGGGATGTGTCTAGCCCCCACCGATACATCTTCAGGGTTTGACAGCGAATCACCAACAGCCTCGTATCATCTTGGTCCATATCCCCTTACTTATTTCAAAAGTCATTTCACATAGAGTGAAAGTTAAAAATAGCACACATCTACCGTTTCTTCTCTACTCACAGTGTCTCGGCCTTTTCAAGGAATAAATTGAGGGAATCTGACATGATTTGTTGCTGATAAATATATTCTGTCATTAAGACTTCGTACCTCCATACTTATTTGTTGATAATTGAAACTAGGCCACTAGTTTGTGAATTTCCACATCTTCCTCTTTTTCCCTTAGAGTGAAAGATGCCATACTTAACAGTTTTCAGCCTTATGTAGCCATTCTCCACAATTACCATTATTGGCAGCCATGATGGAGAACTGCCATAGCCATAAATCTTACATGCATTTGCAAGAATTTCAGCAAAACTGGCTACTTTGAAGAGCAGTGTATAACCTATTATTCTCTTATTACTCGAGCCCTAATTCTTAAGTCTTTGCCATCACAGAAACATAGCATGTTTTGCTGAGGTTTCTTTGTGGTTTTGTTTTGGGTTTTGTTTGTTTGTTTGTTTGCTTTATTTGTTTAACATCCCTGGCTTTTCTGATTCTTTCTCCTGACACTTATGCTGATGCTCTATACCAGTTCTTGTAAGTTTGAACTACAACTCCACTCTCTCCAGAATTCCAGTTTTTGGCCACCATACAGCTCATGCCTCAGCCTCGTCTTGCTGCTTCACAGAAAGAAGTCTGCTAGATCTAATGAACAGCAAAGGGCACATATAATTCTAACATATCTTTTTATTTTTTAATCTAAGAAGTTTCCTTTAACCTAAGGCAATTTCACAAAAAGTTATTTAACAATTCTACAAAATCAGTCACTCATAAAATCAGAAAGGCAAGACATTTTAATTTGCAGTAGCACTTATGTCTACCAGAGTAGGAAATTCTAACTTAGATTTTACTAATTTTAAAAATTTCAGTTTAAAAATTAGACTATTCCTTTAATAGGTTTAA